GGTTTTTATGAAATTACTGGTCCAATATCTTGTTAGCACACCTCTGCTGAGTTGCATGCATTGCGGTACATAAAAGTGAGTTTTCAGAGAACATATTTCTCTCAATAAGGAGGAATCCAAACTTTGAAAAGTCCCACATTTTGAATGTTTCTTTATCCTTCTCATGTCAAAACCTGCTAAGCAGGCAAATGAAGCTAATGAACAGCTTGTAGCCGAAATAACCAGAGAAAACCGCGACCCCAGTGAATCTCAGCCATGTTAATGACTGAAAAATAACACAGAAGTGATTTGAAGATCAGAACACAATAGTGGTCCCTTAAACCAACCGTAGTTGAAAATGTCATTTTATAGAGCGTTTTTTAAATGTTTTATTCTATGTTCAATTTGCTTTTCAAGTCGAAGGTCAGCTCTTGGAATTACATAACATTACAAGACGAGTGTGTTCTGTTTGCCTTTTGGGAAACCAATGCAATGTGTTCAGTGTGATGCTAACCAAGAATAAAAAGGTGTCGGCTGTACATACAGTACATACCATTGATTTCAATGACTTTGGAGACTCTAATGTATAGTGCAAGAGACTGTGTCTTAATTAAATAACTATTATTACTATGTAATATGAAAAGACCTGGATTGGTATTAAACTACTTCCAGTCACAAAAGAAACTGTGAATATTTAAGGCGCATACCGTTTCCCTGAATAAATAGTTTAAAATTCACCTAAAAGACACTTTCTACCTGAGAGATGACAGGTGCTTAAATCTGGACTATTTCTTGGTGAAAACCAGTAGGGGAGTAGCACGGGCATCTTTTGTGTCCTATTATTGATCGACTGGACCAGACTCTACTGTAAATGATTAAATTTCATTGTGATGTCACCAAATGGCAAATAAAAATCAATGCGCTGACGTTCCTGAATGCTAAATACTTGAGTCTCTCTTCCTCTGTGTCTCCCTGTGTGCGCGTCTTTCGCCCTCCCCACCCAAACTCTTGCTCTTATTCCATCCTCTCATTAATTCTTGTTCCCATCAAGTATCTCCCTCACCGGCGTCTTTGCCAAGAATGAAGTCAGCACATGTACGCGCACGCAGACAAGTGCGCACGCTTCACAACGCCGTCAGAAGCCTGCACAGTCACGACTCGCGCAGCACAAGCACACACTCTTCTAGAAACCAAGAGAGAAGATTAAAAAAAAAGAAGAAAAAAAGTGAGAAAAAAAGAAACTGACAATATTAACACTAAAATTTGAAACTTAATTAAAAATCTTAAGTCTTTGTTAAATGCCTCAAATGTTGCGTAACTCGCTGTGAAAGTGCTTTGCTGAGCTGCCGTTGCCAGACTACGTCTATGTGGTCCAACGTTTTAGATGTTTTTCTGCTGCTTTTAAATTTCTTTTCACATTTTCTTTATGTTATGATCACAAATTTAAAGGTATTTGGTGAAATGATCACACAAAGCATGAAAGAATGCACTGAAAAAAATGTGCTGCAACAATTTGCTGTCATTAAAAAAATAGGCTAACCTGTTTATAAATATTTTTTAGGGTGTTCTCACACCTAATGGCTTGGTGGACTCGGTTCGACTGGGGTCCAAATTTGCCACGTTTGCTACATTTTCAGCTGGTGTGGTTCGCTTTCGCACTGTGCTGCGTGAAACAAACTAAAACCCCTTGAAGAACCTTTCCCCCTCCTTCGAGAACGGTGTCAGTTTTTAGTGGCTGTGGTCTTTCTCTTTTGTCTTTCGCGTCAATCTCTAAATGAAATGCAGGGAGATAAAGAATGATGCTGTTTTGTGAAGGACGCTCATATTTATGAATATTAGCGAACAAATATACTACAAATAATATGGAAGAGGTTGCTCTGATCAGATGAATTTAACTTACTGACCTACGTGAAAAACGTAACGTGTGACCAACGTTGCACATCGTCGTCATTATGAAGCACGGTGTTTGTAGCATTATGCCGTGGGAAGGGTTTCTTTAAATCACAGATGGGAGAGGTGGTTAAAGCTGCTTACAGCTAAAACCCAAAGAAAGCTTGACACAGGCTGTGCTAAGTTTCTTGTGCTGTTCTGTAGAAATGGGGCGGTGTACCAGAAACGTCACCAATTAATAAAGTCAGCATCCATTTTTTTTGTTTTCCCAAAGCTTTCTTTTTGTCACATGGTCTTTTTTAGACCACGTGACAATTATTAAAATTGTCACATCTGGATAATTAAAATTATCCAGATTTAATTCAGAGTTGTTTTTTATTCGCACATCCTTGACAGGAATTGTCTGTGCATCGCCGCACGGTGGAGGGCTGACATCCCTGCAGCCGACCGAAGAGTGTCGGGTAAATTGAACGTAGCAAAGCAACCGCACCAGCCAGCCATTTTCCTGTAAGTGTATAAAATATTGAGAGGAATGCATCAAATGCAAAAACTCGAGGCTAAAGGGTGGAATCACGGGCGAAAGCACAGGAGCTCCTTTAGTGCGTATTTATACGCTCTAATGTGAATAATTCTACATGAGTGAAAGCGGTGTGTGCGTGTGTGTGTGTGTGTGTGTGTGTGTGTGTGTGTGTGTGTGTGTGTGTGTGTGTGTGTGTGTGTGTAATGTCACCATAAAACTCGAGGTCTAGACGCCGGACGGTCGTCCTGTATGTATGCTTAAATGACTCTAAAGAAAGAATGTGTGTGTCGGTATCCACCATGAGACCCCAGCAGTGTGTGTTTTATAGGCTGCGCTGAGTGATTGATCATAGAGGGCTGACGAAAGCAGGTTACTGCAGCGCTTACACACACACATTCATTCCCTCTCTGCATTTTTCATTTCTCTCCCTCTCCCCTCCTTCTTTGTTCCATCTCCATCTTTGCTTTCCCTCCTCCCATCCCTCTTCCAAACCTTGCTCTCTCTCTCTCTCTATCTCTTTTCCTCCATACATCACTCTCACTCTCTCCGTCCCCACAGCCATCACTCTCGCCCTTCCTGCAGTCTCCAGCTTTGAACTGCTCCATGTCCTCTTCACACTGTCTATAAGGGGAAAAAGAGAGCAAATACAGAAAAATCTTGCATTTCCTCGCTCTCTTTCTGTCCTGTTATGCAGAGCCCAGGGGAACGGAGAGGCGCTGTCACATGATTCCTTCCTCTACCTCCTCCTTGTTTTTCCTTCCCTCTGTTATCTAGCTGCAGTAGTACTCCACTGCCACTCTGCAAGGGTCTTCATTCGGTCTCAGAGGGCTTCCTCTCCCTCTCTCTCTCCCCGTATCCATCCATCCATCCATCCATCCATCCATCCATCCATCCATCCATCCATCCATCCATCCATCCATCCATCCATCCATCCATCCATCCATCCATCCATCCATCCATCCATCCATCCATCCATCCATCCATCCATCCATCCATCCATCCATCCATCCATCCATCCATCCATCCATCCATCCATCCATCCATCCTGTCAGAAAAAGAGCTGTTTCAGTGAATTTGAAGCTCGTCAAAAGGGGCTCACACCAAACTGTCGACCAATTCTTGCGGCGTCTTGCAGAAAACGCTCATGCCTCTTGAACTTCTACACCTTTTTTTTTTTCATGTTACAAACACAAACCACGACAACGAAAGGAGGCAGGTGGAAGGAACGTAGTAGGACTTTCAGATCACAAAAAACGGGACCGCACAAAGTGCCTCTGTCAATACTTTGGAGAACCGACTTCTGTTCCAATTACAGATGCAAATCTGGCTCAACATCTACCGGCTGAAATTTGAGGATGAATTTTGGACGATTCTTCGGTGCTGATGAGCCATTTGATTCAGGGAGGCGTCTCGAACGAATACGTTTGCATGACATTGCAGCGACATTTCAACACACCTTTCAATACAGGCTGTTACAGAAACAACAGCTTGAAGGAAAAGGAGCCTTCAAGCCTTCAGTAAAGGAAACAACAACTTATTAATCATCACTTAATCCGACCGTTCTCTACGACCGCACACTCCAATGGCAAAACAGACATCCTGGAATCAGAAGGTTGTAGGTACGACACCTACTTCCTCTGATCACATGTCAATGTGCTCCTGTGCAAGGCACTTTGGCAAACTACATGTTCAGCCTATTTACAGATTACACAAAGACGTTAAAACTTGAAGTGATCGCTTGGGCATTTTATGAACGTCTTGGCGGTCAGGATTTAAAGTGACCATCCAAACAGGAAGCAAAGAAGGAAGAGAAAAAAGGAAAATGGAGGGAATCTTGCTTCTCGCCTGTCTGCCATCACCATAACAACAAACCTGCTCCCCCCCTTTTCTTGGAAAAAATGACATTTCACTTTGCCCTGGTTGCTGCTCCCCGCAGGGAGGCTCTGATCCAGCCTCTCCATGAATGCATGTGTGTGTGTGCGTGTGTGTGTGTGTGTCCTCATTAAAAGGAAGACAGCGACTGAGGGGGGAGTGGCCCCGATCACACACACACCTTGTCAAACAAGACCTCTGCTGTGGCTGCATTAGTCTGTTTGATACCAGAGGAAGGAGAAAGTCCTTTCCTACAGGAGGTTCACACACACCAACCCAAACTGGTTGGTGTGTGTAATGTCAGGAATATTTCATATGTTACACAAAAATATTCTATAAGTCGATGCATTATAGATATTTGTGTTTGCCCGCTTCACTCTTTTTTTTAATTTTTGTGTACATATTGAGAGTACTGCTGTATGTTTTGTGTACATACATACTGATCATACTTATAGCTGAAATAAGGTTTAACATGAATAGAAACAACAGTTTAATGCTCAAAACCTTGGAAAAACAAAACTAACTTGGGAGACATAAAACATAAAGAAGCATTTCATTTTCCAAAACGAGAGAGAATTTATGTGCCTTTGAGTGATAAAGAAACAACAGCAAACATGAAATCTTTACAAAAAGGCTGAGCAATATATATATATACATATATATATATATTTAAATAATCACAGCATTGAAAAATTCTTGCAATCAAAGTAAAACTTTCGAGGTTTTGCTCCAGACTCACCCAGTGAGGACGACCACGAAGTCCATGACGTTCCAGCCGTTCCTCAGATAGGAGCCCTTATGCAACGCAAATCCCAAAGCCAGGATCTTGATTCCAGACTCGAAACAGAAGATGGCGATGAAGTAGGGCTCCGTCTCCTCCTGCAGGAGAAGATGATGGGAGAATGGAGGGAAAACGGAGGATAAAATAACGTACGCGGCATGAATGTAAAGGTGAGGAAGACAAGAGTTGTTTCATTTTGCTCGGATGTTGGTTGTAATAAGCAATTAATCAGTCTCATGATAAATTGAAATGAGCTTACTACTTTCCATTCTGATTAACATTTTTTTGTTTTTTGTAATCCATTTTATTCATTGCTGTGGTTGTGTGTGTTTTTTATCCTCTTTCTGTGTATAGTTTATGGTTGTGGCGTTTTATTTTGGATAATAAAAATGTCCTCCAGTTGCAGTTTGAAGTGTTCTGTACAAAATTAAAGTTTATTAGTTTTTGACAGAGGGAAAACTTGCATTTTTGCTTTTATATTATCATTTTAAACACATGATTTAAAAATGGACTCAAAACAACAATATTATCGTTCATCACAATAGTTGTTGGGTTAATTTATTGTAAATTTGACCGTAACAGTTTTGATTAGGATTATAGCTTTTGAACGTTAAACAGCTACGTCTCAAAAAAGGCAAAAATTTTATGTTTTAACAAATCTGCATGTTCAAAATAAGCTACAGAACGTCAACAAAACAAGCAAAAACTAACTTCAGATCTCAGCTTTTGTAAAATATTTGCCATTGTAATATTTACAGACTAATTTATATATCATCATTGTTTTTCAGTGCTTTTCTGCTCTCGCAACCTTTTGAATAGACCTGCGTCTATTCTTTGTGACGTGACCGTGTGTTTGCAGAGCTTTGAGTGTAATCCCATCACTGCACACAATAAGTGTGTGCACAAGGCGTGTGTGTGTGTATCAAAAGCGTGTGTCGTTGTTGTTTTACCAGTCTTTCGGACAAAGGCGTCTTGTCTCCGTCAGGAAGGTGCTGTTCCAGAGCCAGGACAATGCAGTTTGCTATGATGGTGGTGAGGATCATCCATTCAAACGGAGTACAGCTGGAGTCAAGGCTCATTTTACGATGCAGAGACACATTTTCATACATGTTCTCATTATCAGGCACATTTTGACATCGGTGGGATTCCCAGAAAATCTAAAAGTTTCATAACGTCTGTGAAAAAACACGGTAATCACTGAGAACTGCAGCGCCGAGAACTTTGGTGTGGAAATAGTTTCAGAGTGAAGAACCCACTAAGTCAGCTGTTTTTAAATATCAGCGAGTTGTTTAATCATGAAGTCAGAGGGGGAACCGAGATGACTGCAGTTCATTTTGGCTGTGGGAGATCAAGACTTTGAGCAGGCAACAGGAAGGCTGACAGGAGCTCCCACTCATGGAATACTCTGAATTAGCAGGCAGATGGTAATCTCAGAGCTAAGGCTCAGGTTCACATAAAAGCTATAGTCATTCTAACCAACTTAGGATGCTAATGACAGCTTCACCAACTCCAAAATAATTTTATTAAAATAGAAAAATCCTTTTGTAAAGTGACCACTGACTTACACCACTACTCCCAAAATAAATAATTACTGACCCTATAACATTGGGAAGATGGAAATAAATAATATTTTGGATGCTGTTTGACTATTGCAGTTCCTAAAAAGTGACCAGAATCAGCTCCACTTTAATATCAGCACCTGAAATAGACAATATGCTTAATGCTGTAGTAGATAACATTTATAAAAAATAACTTTTGTTTCTTTGTTATATTTGGTAGAGATGCCACTATGCCTTGACAGTATACCATACCAACTTTATTTATAAAGCACTCTAAAAGAACCACAACAAAGTGCTGTACATAAAATAAATAAAAACTCTTACAGTTTAAAACAAACAAACATACAATGTAAAACTAGATCTCGCTGCAGTTGAAAGCCAAGTAAAATAGATGGGTTTTAAGACGAGCTTTAAAATATTTGACAAAAAATAAATCTAGCTCCTCCACCTCCTACAGCCAGCGGGACAGAAACGACCAATCAGAGCCAGGAGGAGGGTCTTAGCACTGTCAATCAAGCTTGTGCACGCTCACATCACTAATTACCAACTGCTCATCACAAATTAATATAATTAATTACATCACATACGTCGATGCCTGCTCTCTCTTGCGTAATCTCTAAGTTTAATAGTTGCAGTTTTCACTAGGATGATATCTGCAGGGGACCTGGATGTTCAAGACATATTTTGCAGTCGTTTCTTTTTTCTCAGTGTATGAGTGCGAGTAATTTGTGTCCATCCAGCCCTTCGTCTCTTTCTGCACCTTCATGCATGCCAACAAGGAATCTCCTGCTTGAGTGTCGAAGTGTTAAAGGACCTACGATGTTATCTCCACTGAGTTCTGACTCTGACTTGTGGCCTCATCTGGAGGGACACGTGATCCCAAACCTGAATTTGTGATCCACTTAATTTCACCCAAGGACCAAGGACTCAACTTCAATCTGCCATTTGTAATCAAAACGGTTTAATATTTTTGTCCAAACCACTCCGATACTCGAGACATTAGGCACAATGAGATTGTCTGAGGAACAGGAGAGGTGCGACACAAAGTTGACCAAACTGAAAAGCTTTCATGCCTCGACTAATAAACCAACAAAACAGCCAAAATGTTTTGAGAACATCTCACACCATAAAAACATACATTTTTCACTGGCATGACCACGATGCCGGTTTTATTTTGTACTGCTAGAAGTCTTTGACACTGATATACATTTGTTTCAAAAGCTTTAAAGAAATAAAATCTTCTGAAAATGGTCGACTAGTTTGTGACCAGAACCCTCAAACAAACGCACAGAGAGGTCAGACTGGCTTTTTACGGCGCTCTGTTGACTAAACCAGTGTGTTCCAGCGTATTGCATTGTACACGTGTGTTTGTGTGCTCCAAGTGTGTGTGTCCAAGCCTGAATAATGGCTGCTGGAGGGCCTAAGATGACTGGATAAATCTCGACAGATCAAGTATGTGCCTAATTGTCCAGTCATTATCCTGTTAGTCTGGACGTGTGTGTCTGTCTCCTTGCATGTTTGTCTGCCAATGCGCGGCAGGACTACGTGTCTATTGTCCCGTTTACCAGATGCAACGCTGACACAGACACTGCGGCCAGAGGACGGCCTGAGTGGGAGTTTGTGTGTGTGTGTGTATGTGTGTGTCCTAGCGGGCGAACGAGGAATAAGATGCTGAATGATATGAGAGGATGAGACAGGTTGGTCAGGGGAGCGCACACTAATAAGACAAGGCTGAACTGCATGGCACATGCTGGCTAGCAAAAGAAAAGCACACACCTGTGTGCGTGCATGTGAGTGTGAAACATGGCGCAGAAAGCTAAAATATGCCCAGAAATACCACCTCAAATCACTCCAGGATTCAAGTTGAAGTATTTTGGGAATCTATAGTAACCTGCCAGAAACTTCAGCGTAACATCTGCGGCAGACGAACAGAAAATTGTGGTGTGGTGGAAGGAACATTTCTTTCATTTTCTTTTACAAATAAAATCCAAAAAATGTGGATAACATTTGTATTCAGCACACCGAGTCAATATCCTGTAGAACTACCTGTCGTTGCATAATCTCTTTTGAAGTACCTCTGCCAGTTTGCACGTCCATAGATTTTTCCGTTAACTTGGGCTCCGTCACAGTAATTGTAAAAGCTTGCGATAGACTTTTCATCCAGATTTAGATCTGGACTTTGACTGCACCGTTCTTGCTCATGAACAGACTTTAAGCTGAACCAGATGCTAAGCACCTGCTTGTATGTTTAATGCCTCTGATTTATTACTTAGCCCTACTTAATAGTATTTTCCGCACACGTACTATTTCATAGCACAATCAAATAACTTTGTTACCTTCAGCTGTTATAAAAATATTGTATGTATAAAACACAAGACAAACTTGACTTCACAATGAAATTAGCCTTGAATAAAATTCAAGAAGCTCCTACTCTTTCCCGACTCTCCGCCTTCCGCATTTCTTCCCAACAACGCCTCTACTTCATCTTAGGAAAGTCGTACTGAAAAGTGGTTCGTATGATGAGCTCAGCAGCCACACAGTTCCACCAGGTGTTTGCTCATTGCTGCTGCCGCTAGTCTGTAGGAGTTGAGTGGTCGGGAGACGGCAAAGAGGGGCTCTCTGTGAGGCGGAAGCTCAGCTTTGGGGAAAAAGGCGAGGCTTTGTGAGGGAAAACATCTCTAGGCATCTCTGCATGGTTGCCGTGGGAGATTCAAAGATTTATCAGACATGCAATAAAAATAAAAAATAAATCAAGAATTGGGGCAATCAGGCATATTTATGGTGAGAGAAAAACATAATTACAAACATAATAAATATGGCATGACATAAAACTCAAAAAAATAAATTTTACATGATGCCTCCATCCACCTTTGAACTTCAGCTGTTTGTTTCTTGATCTTCATGATTCGCTTCGTTCTCTAATGTTCTCTAAAAAGCCTCAGAGGCCTTCGAGGAAGAGCTGGGAGTTTAAATTGCGCCCAATGGGGCAGAAATACACAAACACTTTTCAATTGCAACTTCACCTGTGCACTGCATTGCGGTGGTCCGTTGACCTCCAAAGCAACAGCTGACTTTTCACCTGCTTTGATCTGCTTACAATTTGGTATAGCACAAACTCAAAATGCAATAGAAATACGGGATTTATATGAACATAAACAATGCTCTCAGTCGTTACATGGCAACATGATGCTTTCTTTGCTTTACTGATTTAAATCTGATTATTGTGCTATGTTAAAAAACAACAACAACGACAGACTTTTATTCTAAAGTTAGTTATTCAGTTGTGGATTGGTCTGTGGGGCTGAGACGTGATCATCTCCTCTCTCCCAGGTGGAGAACGCTTCTCCCTAGGCACAGAGCAGCTAATATCCAGGCGGCTCTGTTTGCGTCTTACTAAAAATTAGTTTAGCACAAGGCCACATGCCGGCTCTTGTGTAAAGGCACTCGTCTTTTTTTTTTCTTACCCTCTGTGAGTTGGGAACCCAGATACCTGGGGAGAGGGAGGTGGAGGGGGTCTAAGCGAAACCTGCCAAACAAACCTTCTCCACTCGCTTAGCGCCAGTCACTGCCGCTCCAATAGCACCAATAATCTGCGACTCTCGCCGCACCAAATCTCAGCTTGACCAGAGAAATGATCTGAGGATTAAGTTACTGTGAGCTTAAAACTTAGCCTCTCTTTTAATATGCCTAATTCAGAAAAAATAAAAACATAAAGCATCAACATCGGTAAAACGCTAGCTTATATTAAGAGTTATTCTTCACATTGTACACACTAGATACTCCTCAGAACCCTTGTAAACGGCATCAAGGAGAAGCACTGTTGTGATGATGTGCAGAAGGGGGAATGTCAGAAACAGTAGGAGCTTCTTAAAGAGACAGAGCCCAATTTCCAGGCGTCAGACACGATGCAAAGATACATTTCTTTTATGTTGTTTTTGCCACATAGATCATTTTAATCAACTGAAGGTAACAGAGTTTTGATTGTGTTATAAAATGGCACTTTATGCCTGGAAAATAAATCACAGCATCACCTCTCTTTAATAATGTAAGCCAGTGATACTGGAAATACTGGAACAGTATGACCAGTACTAGAAATAAGAAGATCTGTCACCCCGCTCTGCCATTCTTTACAAACAATTATGTCAGAGTACAACGGACAGACAATTAAATACTTTCTCAAAGACCTTTTCTAGAACTGACAAAGAACTGGAGCCGGTTCTGGTTCAGCACAGGAGCCAGAACGGCATTTTCTGGGTCAAAGTTGCGAACCATTCGTCATTGGACAGGAGCATTGCTATGGTAACAGAAGTGACTGTCGTGCAAAGTAAAATCTGGTGTTAGTAGGCCTGTCGCAACAAACAATAAATCAATTAACTGCATGATAAACTAAAACAAACTCAATAATTTTCATTTGCTTGATTTATCATTTTTCGTTTTTCTCTCTTTCTACCAGACTTGGTCTTCAGTCTGCTGCTTTGGTCTCAACTTTCTCTTTTT